ATGGGATTGGATCCATGGGATGGGATCCATGGGATGGGATGGGATGGGATGGGATGGGATGGGATAAATGGGATAAATGGGATAAATGGGATAAATGGGATAAATGGGATAAATGGGATAAATGGGATAAATGGGATGAGATAAATGGGATAGGACGGGATGGGATGGGATGGGGTTAGATAAATGGGATGGGATGGAATGAAACAGGATTTGATCGGATGGGCTAAATGGGATGGATGGGATGGGAGGGGCTAAATGGGATAAATGGGACGGGATGGGATAAATGGGGTAGATGGCATGGGATAAATGAGATGGGATAAATGGGACGGGATAAATGGGTTAAACGGGATGGGATGCCCATGGTGCAGGGCTGGACGTTGCTCTGGCGCTGGCTCTGCCCTCACCTCACACACCCTCACCCCAGGGAGCCCAGAGAAGCGGGTACACCCCTTCCAACCCCCTCCCTGCCCCCCAAATCTCCTCAGGGAGCCAGGAGCTATTCTGCCTCTGCTCCTACAGCACCTGGGGGGACCCAGAGCCTTGGAGAAAATCTGAGAGGGGCTAAAAAAGTGTGGGGAAGGTCAGGAAGGTGGTGAGGGGGAGCTGAGCTGCTTCATCCCCGCTCAGGTTTCATCTTCACGGGGGATGTCATCCACCGCATGCTCACGGCCACCCAGTACGTGGCCCCGCTGATGGCCAACTTCAACCCCAGCCACTCCCGCAACTCCACGGTGCAGTACCTGGACAATGGTGAGCCCYGCTCCGGCCACCCCCGGGGGGGAATTCTGCTCCTCCCTCACTGTCACCAYCCGTGATGGTTCGTTAACCGAATCTCAGAGCGCAAAAGAAACGGGGAGCAAGTATTTATTCAAAATATTATTGGATTTATGCGATAGAAGAGGGTGAGAGGGAGAAAAAGAGAGAAGGAGAGAGAGTGGGGTTATAGCTACCAACGGCTCAGACAAAGTCCTCGAGATCTGGATTCCATGGATTCATCTAAGTCCGTTGGGGAGATCCCATCTCAGTTTTCTCAGAGAGACTCTTTATAGTCTTTTCGAAAGTGTACGGCAGCTGGCCAAGGGGTTCTGAAGCGGGGAAAACCAGCCAAGAGGTAGGGAAAGAATGCTCATTGTTTTGTAAGGTGTACAGTACAAACCCCACTGTTTATAGGGGGTACAGTACAAACCCCATTATTTTGTAAGGTGTACAGCACAAACCCCATTGTTTATAGAGTGTACAGTACAAACCCCATTGTTTTGTGAGGTGTACAGTACAAACCCCATTGTTTATAGGGTGTACAGTACAAACCCCATTGTTT